AAGTGCTATGTTGTCCTTAAATTAAATTTTCAAGATGCTGTATCATCATGAAACCTGTTGCAAATTAAGTAGGCAGATATGAAACTGTATTCCAATAACTGTAAGGCAGACTCGAGTAAAGGATGAAGGGAATACTAAAAGTTGGAAGGCATTTACATTCTAGTGAAGAACATACTTTCTACTTAAACAATTCCTAGATAGTTAAAGAAAATATGTGAATGTTTAAATGTTGACAGTATGATGAAAACATATTCAGAGCCTTTCATAATTTTGTGATGAAACATGAAAATGTAAGTGGCGCTTTCACTGTGAAGTAGATCTGTCCAACATTTAATTATATCATGTTGATGCTGAAATATATAAAAGGCAGGTAAAAACTCAATAAAATGCAAATTGATTAGGAATCTGGTTATAAAACATAAATGATAGTAACATATGGTGTTAAAGAAAGAAATACTTCCAAATTTGAATAATATATAATAGAATATTAGTTATTTGATTTCCCATTAAGTGTGTTATTTTTGCTAACTGACAGTATCTCCCCAGTGAAGAATCTTAAAATATGCATTCCTACTTAGTGACTAATAGTATTTTTAGCTCACGTATTGTTATTTGATTCTCTAAAAAATTCCGAGAAACAAAGAAAATGAAAATACATCCTATTCATACTTGACAAATAAAGAGAGAGAGAAAGTGGTGGATTTTTATGAGGTCCCAGGAAAAAGAGCTCAAAAAGCTTGAAACTGATCTACCATATGATCCAGCCATACCACTCGTGGGCATATATACAAAGGACTCTATATCCTACTACAGAAAACCTGTTCATCATGTTCATAGTAGCCAGAAACTGGAAAGAAACTAGATGTCCATCAACTGATGAGTGGATAATGAAGATGTGAATGGAATATTATTCATCTCTTAAAATGAAATGATGAAATTCACAGGTTAATGGATAGAACTGGAAACAATTATCCCGAGTGAGGTAACTCAAGGGGAATTTTTATAATTATGCAGAAGGTTTTATATATGTATTTATATATAAATGTATATATTTTTATACATGCATGTATATATACATATATGTTAGGCAATTTGCCATCACTGTAAAGTAGAGATGCCACTTATAAAATAAGTACTTAATTATGGCTCCTGGTTTTAGAGGTTTAAGTTCATTATTGATTGGCTCTGCTGCTTTGGGCCTTTGGTAAGGGGGTAGATGGTCAAGCAAAGAGCCTAATGACCTCATGGAAGGGACTCAGAAAGAGGAAAAGGAAAGAGATCCAGGTCCCACAGTTCCCTCCAAGGACACACCCCAGTTACCTAAGAGTTTTCTTTGGGCCCCATTTCCTAAAGGTTCCATCATTATCTCCAAATCGTACCATGGCCTGAGGACCAAGTGTTCTACACACATGTGTTACGGATATACCCCACATCTAAAGTACCCACTCATACACACACATACACACACACACACACACACACACACACACACAAGCGCACACACACACTTTCTTATTGCCAGCATATCATCAGAATTACCTATTAACTATATTACTTTGCATTTAACTCTATATTGTAAATATCTTTCTGAATTTCTCTGGTTATTTATATTTATTGTTATAGAGGCTGTTCATGTGTCCTGAGGAGACACTATTTTCCCCTTTCATTAGTCACTGTTCCAAGCAACTTGATAACATCATAGCAAGACTAAACAAACAACAGCTCAAAATCGAAATCTTTTCCTGGCATGGCTAACATTTTAGATTAAAATAACTTTTATAGATAATTTAAGGTACAGAAAAAACGAACTTCTCCATGCATGTCTTAGATCTCAGAGACGTAGATGTCAGTTACATAAAACACTTAGAAATCCACAGAAAGGAAGTTCATGCTTACTGAATTTTAATTTTTACTTTTAAATTATGACATAATTTAAAAGTCCATATGTTTGAAGCATAAGATGATAATTCAATGTATGTACACAATGGTTAATGACAAGTATCAGGTTAATAAGCATTTTCAACTCATTAAACATCATTTTTATGTATTATTGATTATAATGTACCTCTATTTATTTTGTAATATATTACTGACTAGTGCACACAATAGTTACATCACTGTGCTATGGAAAACCAGAACCAATTCTTTCTCTCTGTATTTTACTACGAAATTATTTTTTAACTTCATCTTCATTGAATACAGACAGATATTACCTGTCATTTTCCCCTAAACTGTATTCAGTATGACAACAGTTACACAGAAGTTCCGCTGGATTAAGAATTGTATGTAGGGGCTGGAGAGATGGCTCAGCTGTTGAGAGCACTGACTGCTCTTTAAGAGGATCTGTGTTCAATTCCCAGCACCCACATGGCAACTAACAACTACTTGAATCTCCATTTCCAGGGAATCTGACAACCTCTTCTGACCTCCATGGGCATTGCACAACACGGGTGCATGCTTACATATGCAGGCAATACACTCATACACAGAAAATAAAAATAATAAATAAAATTAAAAACAAGAATTACATGTAATTGTGATAGCTGAATGTGGTGGCAGGTGGCTTAAATTCCATTACTCTTAAGGTAGAGCCAGGAAGAAACCTGTGAGATCAACACCAATCTGGTCTATGTAGTGAGTTCCAGGCCAGCTAAGGCTATAGAGAGATATTATCTTTTTTTTTTTTTAAAAAAGAATTATATGAAACTTTGACATGGCTTAAGTTATATGGAGGGTGTGCACATATTATATGCTATATATAGTATTTTTATAAGGACATGAACATCCACACATCTTTGTATCCATGGGAGGACTGGGGACCAATCTCATAAGGATGGTTAAGGATGGCTGTTGTTTTCTAACATTAGAGCCTATAATTTCTCATCTTCTAAAAGTTGGCTAAATGTTGACCATTCTAGAATTACTTTAAAATTATTTTGTTTTATTCTGTGGCAATTAAGAGTTCCTGTAGTCCCTCTATTGTTTGACTGTTTTCCACACAGTTACAAATTATGAAATTTGCTGGAAAAAGTTTTTTTTATTTTTCGTTTAGACATTTTCCTTCGTAGATAATGTGGTTTTTTTTTTCTTAATTCAATATATTCGGCTTGTCAAGATCATATTGACTGTTAATGTTCTATCTCTGCTTCTTACTAAACTCGTATAACGTGGCCTCTGAGTCTCACAGTTGTCCTACATGCCCTAATCAACATCCTTCTCTCCGGTAGAACACAAGATCTTGGCTACAATTATCTATTAAAATATGTAGCCCATAAACACCCCTAGGATATTTAATAAAGAAAATGGGTATCTTTCTGATTACCTTTTATTATTTTCTAAAGTTTGTCAGACTTTATTTTCTTCTTAGAAACCTGAGTCACATTACTGCAATGAAAGATTGTGTGACAGTATCACATTGAGTGTTTTCAAATTTGAAATTCTATTTGACACTGGAGAGAAATCATAGCAAATGGGAACATGATTTTAAAATGAAAGCCAGCTTCATAAATGAATAGATGCAAAAATAATAACTTGCAGCTCTGGAATAAGGACTTTGCCTTCTTGCCATTAACATCTTGGGCACTTAGCACTCAATAATCACTACAAGTCCACTTTACCTAATCTCTGTGATTCCAATACCTGTAGCTATCAGTATTTCGAATGCTTTAATTGTACCACCTTCTTTGTTTGAGTTTTAATTATACTCCGGACTACGTGAAAGTCAGGTACTAACATGATCACATAACTTAACCTTTCTGAGTCCTTAAAATATATTTTTAACCAGAACCATGAAAACTAAACGATGGCAGTAACTATTCTTACCTTATCCTAGTCTTTCCGGTATTCCAGAAAACAATATTTAAAATTGATATTCACATGTAGAGAGAGGAAGGGAAAATTTGCTTATTTCTAACTCCATTTAAGAATTAATCACTTTTAAATGAATCAGGCATTTCTACAGTATAGATCAAAACTCTGGATATCGGAGATTTCAGCCCAGACAGCGTTTCACAGCACCTGTCCTTTGTGTTACTCACCCAGTATTTTCTTCAACTACCAGAAATGCAGAGAGAGTGCCCACCAGCTCAGTTCATGTAGAATAAGTCACTAAACATCATGAGAACTTTGTTCACTTTTAGTTTTATCTTATCAGCTACTGGACAAATAAAACTGTGTGTTTGCATGATTTGTTTGCTCACATTGAAAGAATGTCATGACAGCTTTCAAAGTCATTTCCTCTAATCTCTTCCATTACTGGTGGTAACCTAGGTGTTTAAGCCTAGGTATTTAAGCTCCCTTCACCAGCTCCCAGGAGCAGGGATGGAAGGGTCATGTTAACTACTGAATAGCTTCAGTGGTTCAGTTTACAGGCCGGGGAAGAGGGAACCTCAACTGAGCCATTTTTCCACTGGATTAGCCTGTAGTCGAGTGTGTGAAGCCTTTTATTAATTAGTAATTGATGTCTGAAGGCCCAGCCACTGAGGGCAGTGTCATTCCTGGGCAGGTGGTCTTGGGTTGTATAAGAAAGTAAGTTGAGGGGCTGGAGAGATGGCTCAGCGGTTAAGAACACTGAGTGCTCTTGTGGAGGACCCTGGTTCGATTCCCAGCACTAACATGACAGCTGAGAACCGTCCTTAACTCCAGTTCCAGGGGAGTCCAAAGCCCTCTTCTGACCTCCGCAGCATTGCACGACATGGGTGCACTCACTTACACGCAGGCAATACACTCATACACTTTATATATGTATGCATGGGGAGAGAGAGAGAGAGAGAGAGAGAGAGAGAGAGAGAGAGAGAAAGTGAAAGTAAGTTGAAAGAAAGGAGAGCAAGCCAGTAAGCAGCATTCCGTCATGGTCTGTTCTTCAATTCCTACCTCCAGATTCCTGCCTTGAGTTCCTGCCTTGGCTTGCCTCCACGATAGACTGTAAGTTGTAAAGTGAAATAAATCTTCCCCTGTGCCCCAAGTTGCTTTGGGTCAATGATTTTTATTATTCTTATTTTATGTGTATGAATGTATTGCCCACATGTGCGTAAGTGCACCCGTGTCATACAGTGCCTACAGAGGTCAGAAAAGGGCATTAAATCTCCTGGAACTGGAGCTATGAATGGTTGTTATCAGCCATGTGCTAACCAAAATCAGGTCCTCTGCAAGAGCAGCCAGTGCTCTGAGCCGCTGAGCCATCGCTCCAGCCCCAAGGTCAATGCCTATCACAGCAATAGAAAGCAGCTAGGACAGTTACATAAGGGACTTCTTTCAAGAATATTATTCCTCTTTGAGACGCTGACTCTCCATTACAGTCACTGTAGTCCATTTAATGGCACACTTGATTTAGCAGAGGTTAATTCTGTCATCTACTTCTCTGTAAGATTTTTAAAGACTCCATTCCTCTCTCCATTTTAGAGTTCTATACAATTGTTCTCAAAATCTTTTGGCGTCAAGATTTTTTTTTATTCTTAAAAGATAAACATATTTGAAGAGATTTTGCAAGGCCTATACTTATTATGATATACCGTGTTAGTAACTAAAACAGAAAAATATAACTAAACATTCATTGATTTATTTCAAATCAAAATCAAGCATCACATGGCAAAATAACTAAAAAAATTTAAAGAAAAACGTATTATGCTCCACAAACAAAATAAGCACAATGGCATTCTATTTAGCATTATGTAGAATTTAATATCTTATGGCTTAATAGATTCTAGCATCTGTTTCTAAATTAATTTTGTTGCAAAATGTAATACAGTTTTATACCACCCCCATTCCATTACCTATTTGGAAAGGGATTAATATTTTTGCTAGTTTTTTCAGCCTGGTGGATATTTTTACTTGCTATTATACCAAAAGTCATCAAGGGGCACTTTCTTAAAGGTTAATTGCAATATGGGAAACTTTAACCATATTAGTAAGTTTTTCATGTAGAATTACATTAAATTCACTAAGTCACTTTACAACAATTATTACTCCTGTGAACATGGAACTTTGCTTATTTAGAAAATAAAGATTTACTGAGTTATATAGTGTACTAAATGTTGATGCATTTCACTTTACAATATCCAAACCAGTCCCACTGGTTAATTTCACTACTTATCTAAGTCTTCCAGGACTCAGGGCACCTGAAGTTCAGGGCAGTGGATAAAGGGCCAGGGTTCCGCTCCCAACACCTACACTGTGCAGATCATGACTGTCTGTAACTCCAGTTCTAGGAGATATGATTGTAGCCTCCTCAGGCACTGCATGCATGTGGTGCGTGTACATACACTCAGGCAGGCACAGACACATACACATAAAATGAAAAATAAATACATCCTTTAAAAAAGAATGGCATCTTTTCAGTTTAAAGTGGGTTGCTTCAGCCCCTGCTCAGTCCTGCAATTGTTTCATCTGGAGACCTAGTTATTGTTTGATATGCAAATAGGGCTTTATTTTGGGGACATAAAATGAAGACCACTGAAACTTGCATTTCAGAGTTGAGATTTTATAAGAATAATGATTATGCTTCTTCCCTATATTTTATAAAAAATACGCTTTACTGTAACTTCAGACAAAAAGTAAAATTACTGCTTGTGTGATAGCAGGCAAACAAAATCACCAGGAAACTTTGTAGTTCTGACTGTGACTTCCCCAGAATTGTTCTCCTTCCATCAGTACATATGTCAACAAAGAGGGAAAAAAGTAACAAAATATATTTTCTTCAAAAATTTGTGATTCCATGGTCTTCCAAGGTGTATCTGGGAACTCCCAGTTTTACAGATGTTATTTTCAAAGTTACTGTGAACTGAAAAAAGTTTCCATCCAGAGTTGGGAGACTTATTGTGCTGCCTTCTTCAGAATTATTTGTAACTAAAGGAAAGTATTTTAAATTTAATTTCTTTGTTTCAGTTTCTTCATTTACAACATATCTTTTTAAAGTTTAAAAAGCTTTTTTGTCTTCCTTTATAGTACTAATATATTGTGATATTACTCACATACACATGGCTGCATTAAAATTAAATGGATGATATACCCCAAAGCCCATTCATAAAGTATGATAAAGCTTCCTAAGTGAAGTTAATGATGACGATTGTTTTTATTAAAACATGATAAGTAGTTACCGGTTAGCTCAGTGGGTTAGAGCATGGTGCTAACAAAACATGACAAGGGACATTATAGTTCCTGAAATGTCATGAAAGCTGATAGGGCATGAGTATGCCACTGCTGAATATAATTATCATATTTTTCAATTATTAGTAATGAGAAATAGGATGTATTATGTTTCTACTTTTTTATGTACTTGGAAATTTAATTGGTCCATTTTTACACATTTAAATATTGATGAAAAGCTCTTAATATCAGGGGCTGGAGAGATGGCTCAGAGATAAAGAGCACTGACTGCTCTTGCAGAGGACCAGGGTTTCATTGCCAGCACCCACACAGCGGCTGACAACCATCCATAACTCCAGTTCCAGGGAAATTCAACACCCTCTTTTGACCTCTGTGGGCATTAGATGATTTGGGTGCACTTACATACATGCAGGCAAGATACTCATACACATAAAAATTAAATATAAAACAACTCAATGTCATTCTCAAGTCAATTATATTATGTTGCTAGTTATGAATTGTTAAATACGTTTTTAGCTTCTGCACCCCTGATCCTTTCCTTCAAAGATCTAATACATTAGTGCCTGTTCTCTCTTTCTTTGGTATTTTGTCAGGGGTTTTGTTTTTCTTTTTTAAATTGGATCTCATGTAGCCCAATCTGTCCTCAAACCCTCTCTGTAGGCAGGAAAGACCATGAGCTCCTGATCCCCCTTCCTCCACTTCCCGAATGAAGTGCTATGATTACAGGATGACACACCCAGTTTACACAGTGCTAGGGACCAAAGCTAAGGCTTCACACATGCCAGGCCAGCCCTCTAACAATTCAACTGTGTCCACAGTCCCATCTTTCCTCCTGTGGGCTGTTATATCACACAATGACTCAGTGCTACCATTTAGAGATATAGTTTATAAGTTTTATGAGTCTTATTTTGTTTTTTCATTATGTGCATGTGTGTGTGTGTCTGTGTGTGGGTATGTGCATGTAATGCAGTTGCTCATGGAGGTCAGAGGCATCAAATCTCCTGTAGCTGGAGTTACAAGCAGTTACAAACCACCAGATGTGGGTATGGGAGCCCAAAGGTGTCCTCCGCAAGAGCATTACACATGCTTAACCACTGAGCCATCTCCCCAGCCCCTATTTATCATATTTTGGGGGCTATAACTAGTTTTGGTGAGGAGCATTGGGTTCAACTCTGAGTCATGTGGATACATGAAACTGTACAGTATTTCTGTAAATATTGGCGATCTTCTTGATTGCATCTTTTCTGAAAATCCTGCTGATGAGTTCATCATATTTTGTACTATGCATATGTCTACCTGGATACATGTTTGAGAACTGCCATATCTTGAATCTGAAATGATTCCCAAAGTCCACGTGGTGAAGGTTTGGTTTTCTATCCTTTGGTGCAGTGGGGAGGTGGTGGAGCTCCCTGGGAGGAAGTTAGGTCATTGGAAGCATGTCTTCCATGAAGTTGCTGTGAACCCGGCGCCTTCCTTTCTGTGTCTTACATTCCAGCTGTGACGAAGTGGGCAGCTGTTTCTGCCACATGATCACGCCATTATGTTCTGCCTCACCACAGGCCCGAAGCAGAGGCCTAATAAGTATAGACACGACCTCTGAGTCCATCAGCTAAAATAACTTCCTTATAAGTGGATTTATCTCAGGTGTCTGTTATAGTGACAGTTGATACATGCAAGTGCTTTACCTATTTTTCATTCAAATGAATAAGTATTACAGCATTGAAACTTGTGCCTCCATAAAATTGTCATTTGAGCTAATGCAAAAGTATACTTTATTGTTATGAAAAATTGAATGAAGTGAACAGCACAGCTTATTCATCAGTTTTATTTTTGTTTAATGTGTACTAGTATGTTACCCTCATGTATGTAAGTGTACCATGTGTTTGTGCAATGCCTGTGGAGGCCAGAAGATGGCATCAGGTCCCCTGGAACTGGAGGTATAGACAGTTGTTATTCTCCATGTGGGTGCTGGGAACTGAACCCCAGTCCTCTGGAAGAGCTGCCAGTGCTCTGAACCTCTGAGCCATCTCTCCAGCCCCTAGTTGTCAGATTTCATATGAAAGAAACCAGTGGTGGGAAGAGAGGGGACAGAGCGAAGGGTCAGAGGCAAACTCAGAGGCAAAAGCTGAACTTTTTGTTGCTTTGAGAATATGAGTGAAAACTGAAACTTTCAATAAATTGTAAATTGCACAGGGTCATCCAGTCAATGAGAGAGGTGTTAGCATGGTGTCCCCAACGGCTGTGGCAGAAAAGAAAATTTAAAATTTCTCTGTCATGACTTTAGATATGAAAACTTTTTGCTCATGGAAAAATCAACCCCTAAGTCTGTGCTTCTGGTGATAAGGTATGTCAAATCAATTTCATTCAAGAAAAGAAAATAACCAGTAACTAAGTTTACTGAAATGTGAGAAATACAGAATACATCTAAACAAAAAATTTTAAGTAAGAAATAAAAATAATATATCAGCTAACACAAAAAAGGGACATTTTCTTTAACAGAAATTTTTTTTTTAATTTTTAAA